CGGGGGCGGGTGGGGGCTTTGTTACTACTCCTCCCCTAAAGGTGGTCCAGCTTTCCCAGCCGCCTCACCTGCCTCTGGTGCCCACGATCACCCACCTTCAGTACCAGGTCCTCCAAACTGCTCGCTCGTGCCAAGGGAGCACTGCAGGGCGAGGCCAAGGCAGTGTCCCCTCTAGGTCCTGTCTGTCCTGCAGCTTCACTCTCATCCTCGTCACCCCCACCCAAATCCAGAGGCTCCAGGAGGCGGCTGAGGCTGAGCAACCCAGAGGTGGGGCCGGGGTGATCTGCACAGAGGGGTAGAGGGGAGACCTCGTCATAACCGTCTCCCTGCAGAAGGGCTCCACCTCGAGCTCCCTGAAACTCACCCTGGGGGGCAAAGTTCACACCTTTCTTGAAGCCAGGTGGGACAGTGAGGAGATCTGGAGAGCAGGGACAGGGAGGCAAAATTAGGGCCACTGCATTACACAACACAGACGCGCACAAACGTGCACAGACACTGCAAGCGGGAGTGTCTCCCATGGCTTCTCCAGTTGAGGGTGGTGCAGACTGCCAAAAAGAACTTTCTCCTTGGTAGGGAGAGGGCACTTTCCTAACCTGCAAGCATGTGAAAGGGCTAACAGCAGCCTGGTGATCAGCCTGCCTGGGGCCTCCTCTTCAGGGCCAGACGTGGACCCTAACTCACCTTTCTCGAAGTCTACCTCTTCCTCATGCTCCTCCCTCATGCTCAGGTCTGTGAGGCTGGGCTCATCCATCCCACCTGGGGAGAAGGAGGCCAGACAGTGCTTTCTGGGACAATGGCAACACAGGATGGACAGTAAACCCTTCGCTGGGACTGAGGGCCCCTCTCCTGCCACCCTATCTCCTCAGGTCACCTGGCCAGAAAGGGTATTGTGTGGAATTCCCCCATAGAGACTGGAAGGCTGGCCCTGGAGGCCGGCAGAGGGACAAGGAGGTCGTGGCCGACAGGTTCGTGTTCTCCAGCAGGACCTAAACGAGAGACAGCCCAGCAATGCTAAGCTTGCCGCTGACCTCCCTCCCCTCCCGCAACCCTTCCTCTCGGGGCCCCTGACTTCTCACCTCCTTGTAGCCCAGGATCTGGCCTGTGGTTGGGTGTCTTTGGGCCTGAAGGTCCGATGGGACTGGAGCCGCCACAGCAGCCAGGAGGGACCAGGGGTCTGTCTTCCTCTGCCATTTCCTGGAGAGAAAGGAAGTCATTTTTGTCTTCTTTCTCCCCATCCCAGCTTTCTTCAGCAACCCATCACCTCCTCTGGGCCCCTCCAGATGCCTTACCGAGCTGCGTGCTCCACACCGTGCAGAGGCAGCCAGGCTGGGGAGGACAGAAACAACTGCTCTGCTTCTTGCTGCAGATCTGGGGCACAGGGAGGGAGACCATGGGGAAGCTGGAGCAAAGGAAGACAAGAGGTGTTAAAATAAGGGCCGGGACTTAGCTCAGTGGTGCTGCCGCCTGCCTCACAAGCACAATTTCCTGAGTTCATCCCCAGTAGCAAGAAAACAAAACAAAACAAAAAGAGGTGTTAAGATAAGTAAGAGGTCAAAGTGGTGGTGTTTGCTATAAGGGCCGGGACTTAGCTCAGTGGTGCTGCCGCCTGCCTCACAAGCACAATTTCCTGAGTTCGATCCCCAGTACCAAGAAAACAAAACAAAACAAAAAGAGGTGTTAAGATAAGAAAGAGGTCAAAGTGGTGGTGTTTGTATTCAGATTTGAAACAGTACTGGTCTCAAACAGAGTAAAACTATTAGGGTGAAGCAATCATTTTCAAAGGTTATCCCATAACACCCTGCTACTGAATCACCTGGAGCAAATAGTTATAATGCAGATTTTGGATTTCAGACTCACAGAGACCAAACCTAGGCATCTGTATTTTTTAAAAGCTTCCCCACTAATTCTGAGGTGTACTTTAAAGCTAAGAATCACTCGTCTGAGGGGTCCCTCACCTAGATGAAAGGACATGCGCTCAAAGGGACATGAAAAAATAGATACTCGAAAGCTGGCTCCTCAGCCACGAGGTGTCCTGGTGCTTGGGAAAAATAAGGGGTGCAGGGAGAAAAGGCACAACTCAAAGAACAGCTCTCAGAGCTACGGTATCTCCTGCACTGCCTCTCTGTCCTGGAGTGGGCTCTGAGCCAGGAAGGTCCAGTGGGGAGGGAGGGTCCCGCATCAGTCCGGGCACAGGGGAGTGAGGTCACGCTAGATCGTACTGTGAGAGTAGAGGAAGTTCTGGACACAATGCGGGCTAAAGGTTAGGGTCTAAAGTCACTCACTGTGCTTTCTGGAGCCCCAGGCACATTCAACAACTCCCAGCGCCCTGTGCATCCTAGTTCCACAGCCCGAAGGGGCAGATTCAGGGGATCCGGGGGAGGCAGCACTATAGGCAAAAGGTTAGAGGTTAGAGGTCAAGAGTCAGTAGCTTTCCACTGCTCCATTCTACCTCCCTCCTCCTCACCGAGTCGCTCCGTCTCGATCATCCTGGATGCCCGCGCTTGCGCCGCCGCCTTGGTTACCGCGTTCTCCGCCCCTGGTCGCGTCATCGCTCTGAGCCCGCTCTCAGCTGCCAGCGCGGGGCCACCCGAGACCGTGGGGCCCGGGTTGCCGCCCCCTCAGGTAAAGGCTTCTCCTCACTCTTTGCTCTTCTTTTCTGAGCTCCCTCTTTCTTCTTCCCTTTTTGATTGCTCCGAGAGCGCTGCGCCGCCGCCTTGGTTACCGCGTTCTCCGCCCCTGGTCGCGTCATCGCTCTGAGCCCGCTCTCAGCTGCCAGCGCGGGGCCACCCGAGACCGTGGGGCCCGGGTTGCCGCCCCCTCAGGTAAAGGCTTCTCCTCACTCTTTGCTCTTCTTTTCTGAGCTCCCTCTTTCTTCTTCCCTTTTTGATTGCTCCGAGAGCGCTGCGCAGATTCAGCCGCTTTCTCTGCGGTCGGATCCCGAGGCGGCCCTGCTAACCCTAATGGGCACGGGAGTCAGGTGCCTTCGTTCGACAGAGGGGATGTTTTTTCCTCCCCGGGCCTCATGACCCCAAGGCTCTGGTGTCTGTAATCCTTGAAGCAGAAATGCTGGTTAAGACGAACGGGAGCTCGGACGGCAGCCTGGTCTAAACGAGGGGTAGGGAGCGGCTAGAGGCAGGAGTAGCAGGCCTGGAGGGTGGATGGGTTCAGGGTGGCTGGCGTGTGGTGACAGTGGAGAAAGATGTCTTGGGCCCTGCCCCTGAACCAGGAGCCACCATGTTGGTGATCCCCCCCGGACTGAGCGAGGAGGAGGAGGCTCTGCAGAAGAAATTCAGCAAACTCAAGAAGAAGGTGAGGGAGTGTGTGGGGGCCTGGCCCAACCTTTCACAGCTTCTGCACTCTGAGCACACCTGGGGTGAGTGTGAGCCGATGGGGGGGGTCTTCCAGCTTGGCCCTGGACATGTACCCCCTCCGTGTAGCTTCAAGAGGCGGGTGTTCTCCCTTTGCGGTGCACTCTGTGGCAGAATCATCCTTTCCTGTGGCTTTTAGTACCACCTAGGAGGCTGGTGACTTTTCAGTTCTATCCAGCCCCTTGCCAATAAGCATCAGGTGCCCAAACTGAACCAGTCGTCTCTCTGTCTAATCTGATGTGGGCCCTTTTCTTGGACTGTCAGTAGGACTGACTACACTCAACCCCCCCTCTCTGACTTCTGGACTATTTGCATGGCAAAAACACCTGTCAAGGCCTTTGGTATGTGTTTGTTTTCATTTTTGAGTTGAGGTCTTGCTCTGTTGCCCAGGCTGGTCTTGAACTCCTGGGCTCAAGCTGACACTGCACGCATGAGTGCCAGCCCCAGCGTGCCGAGTCTTTTTAATTCTTATTTGGAAGTGATTTCTCTTTTTCATTCATTCTTGTGGCTTCCTCGGAGCAGGGCTTTACTGAAAATCACCAAGGCTGTTGAAATGGTGTCTCAAGTTTCTGTCTTTTTTGACCTCAGTTCTCTTTCTCAAAACCCATTCACCAGCTCCATGTTGTATGTAGAAAAAAGCCCCAAAACCTTATCTTGGCATCCTTTTCTAATCAAACGGAACTATTTATTGCTCCAAAACATGTGTTCTAAAAACCTTTCCTTTGTATCTTCGCCAACCTGTTTTCTTTGTCTAAAACACCTTCCTGCTGTATTTATGTTGAGGAAACCCTATCCAGGGCCCAGACTGATAGCTATTTAAGCATCAGAAAAATCTTATTTGCAGTCAGCCATTGGCAATCCGCCCCTCTTCGAGGCATTCTTGGCAGCTCAGTCCGTAGTCTTATTCCCATGATTGGCAATCCGTATCTTCGCCAACCTGTTTTCTTTGTCTAAAACACCTTCCTGCTGTATTTATGTTGAGGAAATCCTATCCAGGGCCCAGATTGATAGCTATTTAAGCATCAGAAAAATCTTATTTGCAGTCAGCCGTTGGCAATCCGCCCCTCTTCGAGGCATTCTTGGCAGCTCAGTCCCGTAGTCTTATTCCCGTAACTTAAAGCTTGTATCTTCGCCAACCTGTTTTCTTTGTCTAAAACACCTTCCTGCTGTATTTATGTTGAGGAAATCCTATCCAGGGCCCAGATTGATAGCTATTTAAGCATCAGAAAAATCTTATTTGCAGTCAGCCGTTGGCAATCCGCCCCTCTTCGAGGCATTCTTGGCAGCTCAGTCCCGTAGTCTTATTCCCGTAACTTAAAGCTTCTTGAGGATCAGAGCTGTGTATTTTACTTCCCATACCCATCTCACAGTGACATGTCAGCACCCTTCAATATGTAGGGGTAAATGGATGAAGCCCCCTGGAAGCACACAGGCTTGTACTTATTTGCCGCTTACATCCTAGGGCTCTTGTTCGTGATTGAATTCGTTTTCTTCAACTTCAGAACTGTGCGACTGACAGTCTTGGTCCTGTGGCTCACTTAGGTGCAGTGCTGCTGGCATCACAGATGATCCTGGGGGATCAGATGCAAGAGGCAGGGCTGCCTCGATTGCTGCTGCGAAGGCACCGTTTGTGTTTTCTCTGAGAAAGGTGTCCCTGGACCGACCACCCGGGGGCCTCGGGACAGGGCCTGGCCAGGGCTGGTCCTCACTCACTCCTCCCTGCTCCCCCTTGTTCCCAGAAAAAGGCGCTGCTGGCCCTGAAGAAGCAAAGTAGCAGCAACACAGCCAGCCAGGGTGGCGTCAAACGCTGTGAGTGACGAGCGACGGGAGGGTGAGAAGGGAGCGGCAGGGGTGACTGCTGCCAACGGCCCACGGCGTCTCCTCCCCTTGCCGCTCCAGCACTGTCGGAGCAGCCAGTGGTGGACACGGCCACAGCCACAGAGCAGGCCAAACAGCTGGTGAAGTCAGGAGCCATCAGTGCCATCAAGGCTGAGACCAAGAACTCGGGCTTCAAACGTTCTCGAACCCTCGAGGGGAAGTTAAAGGTGAGCAGAGCAGGGAGTCCAGGGGACCGTGGGCTCAGAGAGCACCCTCTACATCGGCGGGAAGGTGGGCTGAGGGAAAGCAATGCCGTGGATTCAGACACCCGCATATTACCGTGCTGTTCTGAGCATCAGCTTCCTCCTTTTCCTTTACTTTTTATTATTTTTATTTTGATACAGAAGCTCACTGTGTTGCCCAGGCTGGCTTTGAACTCCTGGGCTCACACAGTCCTTCTGCTTCAGCCTCCCAGGTAGCTAGGACTGTGTACACGTGTGCACCACCACACCTGGCCAGAACTTTAGGTTTCTCTCTCCCCTACCCACCCGGTCCCTACCCCACCCCTGCGTTTACTGAGGAAATCAAACAGAGCTTTAGGTTTTTACCCATAGAATGTGCAAATATAGGTGACTCCCACACTCTCCCTGTTATACACCCTTCTGAGTTGGCGCTTCAAGAGGTTGAATGGGCTGAAATGTCAAAAGAGGCTTAGGTAAGCCACAGAGTTTACTTGGATGTTAAGTCACTCATTTAAAAAGCAGGGCATGAGCCGGGCGTGGTGGCGCACGCCTGTAATCCCAGCACTCGGGAGGCTGAGGCAGGAGGATCACTGCAAGTTCGAGACCAGTCTGGGCTACATAGTTCCAGGTCAGTCTGAACTACCTAGTGAGACCCTGTCTCAAAAAAAAAACAAAAACAAAACAAAATTAAAAAGCAGGGCGTAAGCTGAGTGTGGTGGTGCATGCCTGCAATCCCTGCACCATGGGAGGCTGAGGCAGAGGACCACAGGTTCAAGCCCAACCTGAGCAACTTAGTGGCTTTGCAAGCCCCTGTCTCGAAATTAAGCACTTTTTAAAAAGGGCTGGGATGCACCCCAGTGAAAAATCCCTGGTTTTGATCCTCAGTACTGCCAGTGAACACATATAGCGGTAGGTTGTGGCTCAGTACATAATTACTGAGAAATGTACGTAGGGTCGAAAGAAAACAGACCTAAAGACGTGAGGAAGAGGGAGGAGGAACTGCCCCATCACAGTTGGGCAGCCTCCTGGTGCGACCCTGACATGAGCTGCTTCTGCCTTCCAGGACCCTGAGAAGGGGCCGGCGCCCACCTTCCAGCCATTCCAGAGGAGCATATCCGCCGACGACAACCTACAGGAGGTACGCGCCATGCTCTCCTTGAGAGGATGAGGGTGGAGGAAGGCGAGAGACCCACGTACTTGGACCACAGCCAGCAGCGGGCACTTCTTAACCACCCCTGGTCTCTTTTTCAGGCGTCCAGACGTCCCCAGAGGAAGTCACTCTATGAGAGGTTAGAGACCTTGGTGTGGGGTCAGCACCTGAGTCCTGGAGGTCTGGGGTGGAGTGGAAGGTGACGGCTGTGGAGGAGGTGCTGAGCCTGCAGGATCTGGGGGCGGAGGGGAGGAGGAGGGGCCCCCCTGACCTCCGCTGTCCATGTCGCCCAGCTTCGTGTCCTCTAGCGATCGGCTCCGAGAACTGGGGCCGGATGAAGAAGCTGAGGGCCCAGGGGCTGGCGATGGCCCTCCTCGGAGCTCTGACTGGGGCTATGAAGAGCGAGGAGGCACCCGCTCCTCAGCCTCCCCTCCCCGAAGCCGCAGCCAGGACCACAGCCATGAGCGGAACCGGGAGCGGGACCGGGAGCGGGACCGGGAGCGGGAGCGGGAATCCAGGGGCTGGCGATGGCCCTCCTCGGAGCTCTGACTGGGGCTATGAAGAGCGAGGAGGCACCCACTCCTCAGCCTCCCCTCCCCGAAGCCGCAGCCGGGACCACAGCCATGAGCGGAACCGGGAGCGGGAGCGGGAGCGGGAGCGGGAACAGCGGGACAGAGATAAAGATCGAGATCGGGACCGCGAGAGGGACCGGGACCGGGACCGGGACAGGGACCGAGAGGGCCCTTTCCGCAGTGAGTGAGCCTGCTGGGGGTGGGGGCCTTCGGGGGAGGGGAGGCGGGCGGCGCCAGGACCGACCCCTCATCCCGCAGGGTCAGACTCCTTCCCGGAGCGCCGGGCCCCTCGGAAGGGGAACACGCTCTACGTCTACGGAGAAGACATGACCCCCACGCTGCTCCGCGGGGCCTTCGCTCCCTTCGGAAACATCATCGACCTCTCCATGGACCCACCTAGAAAGTGAGCGCTGGGGACCCTGGGACGCGGGGCGGGTGTGGTGGGTGGCAGGGCGGAGTCGGGTGCGCTAACCCTGTTCTCTGTCACCCCAGCTGTGCCTTTGTCACCTACGAGAAGATGGAGTCGGCAGATCAGGCCGTTGCTGAGGTTGGGACTTCCCAGATCTGTTCCTCTCATCCCCATCCCGGCCTCATGTTTCCTCCCTGAAATGTTGGGGAGCCAGGGGAACATCAGCTCCTCCCAACGGGGAGAGTCTTCATAGTCACAGGAAACCCGCCCTCGGGTCCCCATTCGGTCTGCTCCTGGGAGAGCAGCCCCGACAGGGCCGTGTCTCTCTGTGACGCCCCGCGCTCTGTCCTCCCCTCCCGCCGCAGCTCAATGGGACCCAGGTGGAATCCGTGCAGCTGAAAGTCAACATCGCGCGCAAACAGCCCATGCTGGATGCTGCTACCGGCAAGTCTGTGTGGGGCTCCCTCGGTAAGAGCCGGCTCTCTACGTCTGCCCCGCAGCCCATCCTGCTCCCCTGCGGCCCTGGGTCCCCTGGAGTCTGGGTCTGTGTGGAGGCTGCGGGAGCAGAGCGTAGTGGGCACCAGGCCCTTTATTGGTCAGGTGCGGCGAGGAAGGGAGCGTTGGGAGCGACTCCCACAGCACAGCACAGCCTGGAGACAGTGGCTCAGGGATTTGAAATTGTGGCTCCAGAACTCAGATGTGAGGTGAAGAAGGAAAGTGTGGATTAGAGTCACCTGTGTCTCGGGGTGGCTGCAAAACAATAGTGTCGGCAGGGAGACTGATTTTGGAGACAGGGTGACCCAGCCCTGACTTGGGGGACACTCAGGAGCTGTGAGCAAGCTGGACTATACCCCTGCGCCCCACGATATCCCCAGCAGCCCTGACACATTAGGGCTGCAGCCAAGGAGCCTGGAGGAAGGATTAGGGCCCAGGACAGAGTCAGAGGCCAGGGCTGCTGAGACAAGGACACAGGTGTGGAGGGCCGTGGTCAGCAGTGCTGAGGTGCGGAGAGCAAGGGGAGGGGAGCTGCTGGGAGCGAGCGGTTCCCAGCCTGGGGTCTGTGGTGGGAAAGAGCGTTGCTGCTCGAGGGAGCTCTGGCCAGACCACCCCGCTGAGTTGGGGCAGGGCAGGGGGATGCAGTGCTTGCTATGAATAACCTTGGAAAACAGCAGAAAGGGCCCACAGCAAGAGTGGCCCTGTAGGCACTGCGAAAGAGGAAAGCAGAATTAACCAGCACATCAACAGAGGGCTTCAAAGATGTTCTGATTTTTAATGTTGGATGTGTCAACTGAAAGGAGTGGATTAACATCATTCACATGCCTCAGCAAGAACCTCTGGTGATTTTTCCAAGAACGAAATGTTTATCAGTAGCTGCAGTGCCGCTCTCCATGGTGATGGCTCGGCCGCCTCAGACCCTCCGTGGGGCCTAGAGGAGTCCGGCCACCAGGGGGCAGGAGTGAGGCGCTCCGGCTCTGGGCCCTGGGTCTCCGGGCCTCGCCCTCCTTCAGACCTAACTGCCCTCCCCCCTCCTCAGCTGTCCAGAACAGCCCTAAGGGCTGCCACCGAGACAAGAGGACCCAGATTGTCTACAGTGACGATGTCTACAAGGAAAACCTTGTGGATGGCTTCTAGGAAGGGAGGCTGGATTCCCTGTGCCTCGCACCCTCTGCTGCTGGTCTCAGTCTCAGTAAAACACCAGGTGGAAGCTCACACCTCCTCCTCGGCTTCTGGTTTTTCAGCACTTGGGGTCTGGGTTGAGCCTTTAAAAATGGCTGTCAGAGCTGCCCCGCTGGGGATAACATGGCCAGTGCGCACCCCACTCCCACCCCAAAAGATCTTGGAGCACAGTAATCATCGCAGCTGTTTTAATTCCATCCCGAACCCCTTTCTGGCAGGAAACATCTTATAGGAAACCCAGGTCCTCATCTCTGAGCTTCTCCTTGAGCCAGGGCAGCACTTGAAAGAGATTGATGTGAAAGTCCCGGGCGTAAGGGGGTACCTGCTGTTGCCGCTTCTGGTCATAGCAGACATCCACTACTCCCCAGCTGATCACGCCAACCTGAGGGCAGGGCGCGGACTCGCTCTGAGCGGCTCTTCCTGGTGCCACTGTGCCTGCGCTATCTTAGAGTCCCTGGACCCCACCCTGACTTGCCCTGAGGCGGGGCAGGCCCTGCGGTCCTCCCACCCCCAGCCATGTGCCTCGAGCTTCCCCGCTTGGTGTCTGCGCCCACCCTGCCCCCCCCGCAGGAAAGGGGTGCTTACTTGGATGAAGCGGCTCCTCTTGTGGATGATCAGTGGGCCGCCAGAGTCCCCTGCGGAGAGAGCGGCTGTAGGAAAGGAGCGCTGGGGCTCGGGCCCTCACAGCCCCACCAAAGAGCCCCCTCACCTTTGCAGGTGTTGGGGTCCGCATAGGGGTCCACTCCGCCCGTGCACAGGAACCTGGGGGTGACCACCTCATAGATGTCCTTGACTTTGTCGTAGCCTGCGGCGTGCTGTGCGTCTCTCTCGCAGCTGGCTTTCTGCGGGGGAGAGCGGAGATGGACCAGGCTGGCCGGGGCCTGGAGCTCCCGCCTGGGACCTCCGTCTCACCTTCTCTCCGTTCTTGATGTAGACCTCCTTCCGGGTCAGCCTCTTCTGCTCCTCGGAGACAAACAGGGCTTCGACATCCTTTGCGGGGAGCAGCTGTTCCTCTGGACAGGTGGACAGACTGGCTACACCCGCCGCCCCCCTTCGACCCACTGCCCGTCCCAGCACGCGTTCCTCGAGTGCTTCCTGTGACCCAGGCCAGTGGCGGCAAGC